TCGGAAGCAACACAAGCTTCTTCTTGGGTTTTTCGGTAAAGTCACGTAGAATGGAAACAAAGTAATAAAAATAAAATATAATAAAATAAAATTCTCACGACGTTTCGGCCACAACACAAGTAGCCTTCTTCAGGTGAAGGAACAGAACTGTCGGGGACAGAACTGAAGAAGGCTACTTGTGTTGTGGCCGAAACGTCGTGAGAATTTTATTTTATTTTATAATGTTTTATTTTTATTACTTTGTTTCCATTCTACGTGGCTTTACCGAAAGAACCAAGAAGATGAATCCCTGCAGTCACGAAAGCTTTAAATCGAAATTCAACACAAGCTTCCTTCATCAGGCGGGACAACCACAGCAAAAACTACAACAAAATATTTTTGCTGTGGTTGTTGATTATTTTTATTTAATTTTTTTACTTATTATTTTTTTTACCTACGTGACTTTACCCAAAGAACCAAAGAGTATGGATCATTGCAGTCACGAAAACTTCAAATCTAGAATTAATACGGATGAAAATTTTCAGACCATTTGCCAATCCACTGCTGGATGAAGGCCTGCCCCCACGCCGTGCGGGTCTTGCGGGGTTGTTTGGCCAAATGCTTCACCACGCTGGTCACGGCAGGTTAGTGAAGGAGGCGGTGGACCGCTTCAGATATCACTCCGTCACTGATGGTAGCCGTGGCCCGGAATCAAACTCAGGTCTGGCATCGAAACCGTTGATCGGAGCCCACATCCCTTCACCTGCTTGCACTGACCAGCGTGGTGAAGTATGGTCAAACAACACCCATGACCGACAGGGTTCCTGGATACATTAACCCAGCAGTAGATTGGCACAGGGGCTGGATGTCGATAGTTATTAGTAGCATTATTACGTAATAATATTATGTAGTAATAATAATTATTATGATTTGAAGCTTTCGTGACTGCAGGCATCCATAGTCTTTGGTTCTTTCGGTAAAGTCACGTAGGTAGACAATTAATTTATCACGACGTTCTTCCTACGTCAACAGTTCTCCTGCTGTATTTGTTTCACCTGATGACGGTCGCTTGTGTTGCGATCGAAACGTCACGTGATCTATTAATTTTCTATCTACGTGACTTTACCGAAAGAATAAAAGAGTAATAATTGTAATTAATTATAATTAGTATTATTTATAATGATAATTGTTATTACTAAGCATTAATTAGAATTATAATTATTAATAATAATTTTAGTACGTAATTATTATTACATACTAATAATTATTATTGTAGAGAGCACAATACAATGAAACACAGATTGTCAGAACATGCAAACACATATCACAGCAGTTGAAGGTGCACATGTTTAACAACGTTACGGGAAACGAACACTCACACCCACAGCCCTTTTGTCAGTCCACTGCTGGATGATGGGTATCCCCACACCCCGCTGGTCGTGGGGGTTATTTGACCACGGCTAGGAACCTAAAGCACGTCAGGGGTTCATGGCGAAGTGCGCGAATCCACTGCGGCATCACTCCTCCTCCACCACCACCACCACCACTATCCTTCTCCCTGCGTTAGTTCTGAAATGCACTGAACTGCTGTCACTTGCTCGAGACGTCACCCCAAGGGTTTCTCCGCCTGCGGGAAAACGGTCTATTCGCATGATATGTTTTAATATTGCCGAATCCATGGAGAGCCGAGTGTAAATTAACACCTCTTGGGTACCCGTTCCACCGAGGAATTAAATGTAATTGACGCGCCGATTGATAGGGAGCAGTGCCGGATTATCCTAGTAGCAAAAGTAGCTACTACACATGTAATAGCTACTACACATATAGTAGCTACTACATATGTAGTAGCTACTATATATGTAGCTACTACACATTACACATGTAGCTACGTGTAGTAGCTACTATATGTGTAGTTGCTGGATAATGGGATATGGTTCTTGCATATATAATTAATTAATGTACACCGTTGTGGGATGCTATTCGGATGAATTACCGCTGTATTAAATTCAACTATTATTATGTTGTATGGTTTAGAGAGTTGGACTTGAATGAAGAAATCGTGAACAATGATTTCGGTCTTAGAGTGCAGCGAGGTCATTATGAGAACGTGAGAATTGTTAGAAACCAGAGAGAGCCCGTTCAGTTTAACACGTGGTTGGCTTTCGCGACGAATATCATCCATAATGGAGGCGTTTGGATTAACTCGCTTAAGTATAAATGCGCCGTTAAACCCGCCACCACCCGACTCGGCCAATTAGTAAGGTTTGTCACGTAAACAAAACGTGCCAATTCGTTCAGCACACCGCTGCGTGTCGGAGAGGAAGCCCATTCAGTCCACGCAGCTTATTTGGTTGTCAGTGGCAGATCGTTTCTAGTGTCTTAGGGTCCGTCCATAAATGACGTCACGCACCTAGGGGGGGCAGACATTTGTGACGATGTGTGACGCAGGGGGGGGGGGGGAGAGAAACGTGACGTCATATCAAAATGCGCAACTTTAAATAAATATAGACAACACGTTCTACTTAAATTTTGATTTAAAACTTTCGTGACTGCAGGGATTCATATTCTTGGTTCTTTCGGTAAAGTCACGTAGAAGGGAAACAATTAAATAATAAAAATATAAAACTTTGCTTACTGTCGTTTTCCCACCTGATGATGATTGCTTGTGTTGCAGTCGAAACGTCGTGAGAATTTAATTGTTTTATATTTTTATTATTTGATTGTTTCCCTTCTACGTGACTTTACCGAAAGAACCAAGAATACGTTCTACTTAATTAAATAGACTTTTTAATAAATGTTTTCTCCTACAACACCAGAGTGCAGCGCCACATTAAACACGCACTACAATGACAATAGTTTAAGGCGATTTGAAGCATGTTTTATTTTTTTTTGGGGGGGGGGGGGCAGGGCTTTGTGACGTCATATTTGAGGGGGGTCTGACTTTTTGTGACGCCGTGTGACAGAGACACTAATAGAGAGGCTCACAACATAGACACACAGAGACGTCTGCTTGTGTGTCTGTCTGTGTGTCTCCGTGTCTGTGTTTTTGTCTCTCTCTCAAATTTAGTTCTACCCGATGACGGCTGCTTGTGTTGCAATCGAAACGTCGTATTCTATTATTTAATTTCTTTCTACGCGACTTTACCGAAAGAACCAAAGAGTAATTCCTGCAGTCACGAAAGCTTCAAATCAAGTTTGTTATCATAGCATGTTTGCTTTTTTAACCACAAGCATGTGCGGTTAATGCAGCCTTGGAACTTTGTAATAGGCGCCTATGTCCTGTGTGGACATCTTAACACCACCTGTATTTATTTCAGACAGCATAAACCATATATACATATTTTATTATTTTGTTGTTTCTCTTCAACGTGACTTTACCGAAAAAACTAAGAATATGAATTACTGCAGTCACGAAAGCTTTAAATCAAAAGCATAAACCATGTTTCTCATTCACTATCTTGATACTGGCGAATGGGTCCCATAGCTAGAATTGCGCAGTGCTTTTTTTGTGTGTGTGTGCAGTATCGTAGCAATTAAAGACATTGGCACTTTATTTCAAACAAGGCTTTATTGAGATGTACATTGCACCTTCTTGCAAAGGGAACACGGTTCGTAGCATAGGCGCAAGCGGCTGTAGATACGCCAACCAGCTACAGCTCTGGCTGCGTCGGCATTTTAAAAGCAAAACGTGGTGTGAAGGAGAAAATGTGGAATCTCGGTTGAAATTTGGAAGGTCTGTTGTCTCACGCGGCTACGAGACGACCTCAAATAAAACCACGGGCGATGATTTTGTTCCCAATGAAAACGATGAACTTTGTTTTTTTGCGCGCGCGCTTCTAAAGGGCAAAACCCGCGTGGAGGTTATGGTTATACATTTTGCCAGTTTTGTAGAGGAGACTTCATAGGGGAAATCCGTTCTACCGCATTTCTGAAAACGTAAACGTTTATAATCGTTAACCCGCCCATGCGCAGTGCACGTCTGTGTGTGTGTGTGTGACGATTATCACAACACCAGTGACGATGATCTGAATCGGTCCGGGGCCTCCCCTAGGTCGGCTCAGCCTCAAATGAGTAGCTGGTGTGGTTTGTAGTAAACATCGCCACTAAAGATACAAAGGCGGTCGGGCGTGGTGTTGGCCACCCACCATCTCGTGTGCCGTGCCGGCCTTCATAGGTGCTCGCGAACAGCACTTGCCCTAGAAGTTTGTTAAAGGCTATATGGAGGATCTTTATATTTAAAACTATGTGTTTGTGTGGGGAGCGGTAGTGTAGCGGTTAGCGCACTGCGCTACGAACCGAGTTCGAGTCCCTTTCACGGCCAGAGATTTCAATTCAACTTTAGGCAACTTAATTCTGATACCATCTCATCCCAACAATACTTGTGGTTCTCGAGCTCCAAGCAGAATTATCCCCAAACATCTTTCAACACACCAGTAACCATTGACTCACGATGGTGCAAACAACCATGAATTCATATAAACTGATAGTGCCTTATGCTCTGGATGATACGACGCTACGGAAAGTATGACGCACCTCCCCCCCCACCATGACCTTGTTGCCAGTGCCAATATGGTGACACAATTGCTGGTCGCACACGTATGCACTCGCACGGATATCACATTAGGGGCCGTCCATAAATGACGTCACGCATCTTGGGGGGGGGGGGGGTCAGACATTTGTGAGGATGTGTGACGAGGGGGGGGGGGGGTTGAGAAATGTGACGTCACATCAAAATGCGCAACTTTAAATAAATATAGAAACAACACGTTCTACTTAATTAAATATACTTTTTAATAAATGTTTTCTCCTACAACATCAGAGTGCAGCGTCACATTAAATACGCACTACAATGATAATAGTTTAAAGCGATTTGAAGCATGTTTTATATTTTTTTGGGGGGGTGGGCAGAGCTTTTTGACGTCATATTTGAGGGGGGGGGGTCTGACTTTTTGTGACGCAGTGTGACAAGGGGGGGGGGAGGGTCCAAAATAGCGTGACGTCATTTATGGACGGCCCCTTATAAGACGGTGTAATAATGCTGATGGCGCATACGGCGTGGAAAACGATGTTGCTTTCAAAATGTCGTCAACCTCGGACGTGCGTTCCTCCGCTCTCCAGGTCAGCCGCTCTCCAGGCCATCTCGAAGGACAACGCAAAAAGGCGACGCGCGTTTAAGCGAGGAGGCTAAGGAAGATGCTCCGGTGTTGTTGAACAGCTCGCTCATACTCGTGGGGCGACCGGCGCAAGCATCGCTCAACGCGCCATGCGAGTCGTGGCACACGACAGCAGCGTGGGCGTTTCAATTGAATTTCCGCGCCGATTAAATACTTCTCAATAAATCTATTTTTTTGTTTAAAAAAAAGCACCCCCGTCCGCTCTTAATAACCCTCGTGGCGAACTTTCACCGTGACATGTACAACAACACCAGCAATCCCTGCGCGGCGCTCTATCACGGATACAACTGCACGGGTCCCAGCCTACCGCCGACGAATCTCTGCGCCGTGGTGGTCCTGCTGTCCTCGTTCATCGCGGCCACGGTGCTGGGCAACCTTCTCATCATCTGCTCCATCGCATTCTTCAAGCAGCTGCAGACCTTCCCGACGACGCTCGCGCTGTCCCTGGCGCTCTCCGACTTTCTCGTGGGTCTGGTCATCATGCCGTTCGCCGTCATGAAGACCGCCTACCGCTGCTGGTTCTGCGCCAGCGCCTTCTGCAACGCGCACCACTTCCTCGACTACATGTTCACCAACTCGTCCATCTTCCACATCACCTGCATCGCCTTCGAGCGCTACGTCGCCATCAGCGACCCCCTGCGCTACCGCGCCAGGGTCACCAGGAAGACGATGGCGGCGATGCTGCTGCTGTGTTGGCTCGGATCGGCGCTCTTCTCGTCGCCCAGCCTCGTGAGCTTGATGAGCAAGTCCGCGTCCGGGGGGCTCATCCAACGGGTCCGCTGCCCCAACGACTGCGTGTTCTCCGTCTACATCGGCATCCAGGCGGTGATCGGCATCTCGCCTTATTTCATTTCCCTCGTCGTCATCGTCCTGGTGTACGGCAGGATCTACTCCATCGCCAGGAGGCAGGCGCAGAAGATCAACTCGGAGGGGTCGAGACGCAGGGGGCAGGATGCTGCGGCGGCGTCGGCGGCGTGCACCGACGCCCTGCATAAGTGGAAGGCCATGAGGAGGGAGCACAACGCCACCAAGACGTTGGGAGTCATCATCTTTTTCTTCCTGCTGTCCTGGCTGCCCTACAACGTGACGGTCATCGTCTTCGAGTTTGTTGCTTACGCCTCGGACGTGTACCAGGTCACGCTGTGGATCGGCTACATCAGCTCGGCGTTCAACCCCATCCTCTACGCGTGCTTCAACCGTCCCTTCAGAACCGCCTTCCACAGAATATTGCGCCTGAAAGTCTTCACGTTGGCCGACCGGGATTTCGCATTTTCCACCGCTCAGGATGGAGGACACTGAGTAGTGTCCACAATCGAGATGTGTCGGGTTTGCTCGCGTAAATATAAACGCGTCGTGAAACCCGCCACCACCCGACGAAGCCAATTAGCAAGGTTTGTCGCAGAAAACAAAACGCGCCAATTCGTTAGTAGCACAGCGACACCGGTGTGTTGGAAGAGTAAACCCACAACGTTTACATTTCGAGTACGACGTTTCGGCAGTAATTATAACTAGCATCATCGGGTGGTGGTGGGTTTAACGACGCATTTATATTTACGCGATCTTAACCAAAAAGCCTACGTGTTAATCACTGACTACTGTAAGGGAGGAAACACAATACGTGTATTTAATGTTTATTTTTAACCAGCCCGCAGCTTTGAGACGTACACACATATATATTTATTGAATGCAGAGGTATACAGTATAAACATTATTGGAAATACTGAACGATTGTATAGGGCAAGTGTTGGTATAATAATTTAAGTAATAATGCCACTTTTACGCAAGGAAAGCCCTCAGTCAGTCTCAAGACGAGAGGGTTGCTACCTGTCCTGGTTTTCCCAGGATCGTCCTCATGATGAGGAGGCAGCAGTAGCTGTTGGTTCTCCTGGGAAATCTGCAAGTCTTCCAGGGGCATTACAAGGCCACGTTTTTTTCTGTCATTTGCGTGACAATAATCATCATAACAATGTACCACCAATATTCGTAGCTCTTTTCGGTAAAGTCACGTTGAAGGGAAATCAAAATGTACCAACCGTGACAATACATTTTTGCAGTAGTTCGCTCCGGGGCGATGCGACATATTCTTCTTGCTATAATATGTCGCGGCTGTTTTTCTTTGTACCTCGGAGGTGGCAACTCTACTCAAGGCTCTCTTTCAGGAGGTTCTTGCCACGGGATGTTTGGCCGGTTCCTTAACGAGTGAGTGGTTGACGTGTGAGATGGAAACGTGAGTGGCTGAAGAAGACCGACACGTGTATCGAGTGTGTTGGCAACCCAGATGCTGCCCTGCCATCTACCGACAGTAATAAAGTACTCGAACGCAGCAAAGTAGAATTTAGAAAATGGACGCTTCAAATTAAAATATTAATAACCTAAATAATGAATGTAATGCAATCAATCATCTGTTTATTTAAGGAGTTGTGTTTGCATTTTGTGTCACATATTTGAGATTACCCGTGCAATCGTAAATTTTCACTAAAGATTATGTGAATCACTTCTGCGTATTTATTCATCCACTGAGATTCACTGCTTTTTTGCAATAAACATCTGCAGAATTGCCAGTTTGACCTGCGTATGACGCATCTTGGGCCGAACCAAGCTGGATTGCGAAGCTCATAGATCAGTTGGCAGATATAGACACAGTCCCATCGGTGGGCTCCTCTGACAGGTGAGTCTGCGTTGGCTGGATGACGTAGCCCACATGTCCAGCCACCGCATGCCCAAGCAGCTTCTGTTTGACCGGATGGAGGGGGCTAAACGGGCAAAGGATCGGGCTGAAGAGGGAAATGGGCTGATGTGGTACAGGTGAACTTGGACCTGAGTGGACTTGTCAGCGACTGGTACCAGAGGTATCAAGATCGGCCTCTGTGGAGGCGGCTCGTGAAGGACGCTGCTACTACTGGGCAGATCGAGGCAGTCGCCCTCCAGCAACAACGGAGGGCGGAAGAGTGACGCTCACAACAACGAGTGGTGCGCGGGGCGAATAAAACACAGCAAGGTGGCAGAGTGAGCGACACAATTGGTGAACCTGTAATGTCAATTAACCCACAACACCTGGGGTTATAACTGTATGTGTGGCCTCTAACTGAACAACTAGATACCAATGCATCTTCGTCTCAAAGACGATATATTCTCCGGATTATAAGACGCACCGCTAACGATTCCTTTAATATTCAGGGAAAAAAGTGCATCCTACGCTGCTGAGAATACGGTACACATACTGAGCTCATGGGCTGTCAATCACAGCCATGTACAATCGGGACGCCTGCTACAGGGAATTAAAATATTTTATTTCAAGAATGTTCACAACTATTGACAAAGCATATATCATTTAAAGCTGTTTGGTATTGTAATATGATTGATTCATATAAGCATCTTTGTAAATATCATACATTATGTACAGCAGATAACGCATGCAACTCTGAGCTCCACAGGCAATTCGGTGCAATTCACGATGGTAATTCGATTCAAGATGTGATTCTTTTCAAACATTGTGGTGATTGATAATTGGGTTTTTACCCTTTTATCTGGCAACAAAACTGACACCTTTTTTTACAAGGAGTCATGTTTACATTGACCACAATACCTGCGGTCGGAACGCAGGGTAAAAAACCAATTATCATATTTTGTTACTGGCAAATGAGGTTTCCAACGGTGTAAATTGTGGTGATTGTAGCGGCCACTAGTGGCTGCAAGGATCAATACAACTTGCCGTATCATCTACGACAGATACAAAAAAAATATCGGTCCTCATACAAGTGCGATTCAACGCAAGCTTGAGGATTCTGTGGTTCATCGACGCATCCATGCAATGGGATCATCATCAGCCACTGTTGGATGAGGGCCTCCCCAATACTGACATCGCCACATCGAATCGTATCCAGCGCATGAACTGGTTTGCACGATGTCAATAATGCACACAAATATTGACATTTGATGGTAAATCAATAGAGGCGCACCAATGGAATTGATTCATTGATTGATATCGATCCTTAAACTCATTATACACGATTTCCTCCCATGTGCAGTCAAACTCCGATAGCTGGCCCACACATCCCAATGCAAGATCCTCTTGGCAAAGTACTCGTACGACTCAGGCTTTCCTGCCTCAACAAAGGGCATTGCATTGTTATTTTTTTTTTTATTACGAAAGTAATTCCCACGACATTACCGTACGCTTGGGAAGTGGAGTGCCCCGTGTGTTTTGCAATCAGTTGCTTACGCCATGGCTCGCGACAGAGCGTTCGATAGAGGGAGCTCTAGACATGTTATTTGGCCTACTCTTCCACCCTGGCCAGCCAGTACGGCGTCTTGGAAGAGGTGGCATTACCCGCTTAGGGGCCGTCCATAAATGACGTCACTCGATTTTGGACGATTTTTGACCCCCCCCCCCCGTCACAAAAAGTCAGACCCATCCCCGCAAATATGACGTCACGAAGCTCTGCCCCCCCCCCAAACCATATTTCCATTTTGAAAATAAAACATGCTTCAAATCGCTTTAAACTATTGTCATTGTAGTGCGCGTTTAATGTGGAGCTGCACTCTGATGTTGTAGGAGAAAAAACATTTATTACAAAGTCTATTTAATCAAGTAGAACGTGTTGTCTATATTTATTTAAAGTTGGGCATTTTGATGTGACGTCACATTTCTCAAACCCCCCCCCCTCGTCACACATCGTCATAAATGTCTGACCCCCCCCCCCCAGGTGCGTGACGTCATTTATGGACGGCCCCTCACACACTTTATCCCACAACACGCGACCCGCCGCTATCGACTGAGCTGTGTTTCATTCTTTGATTTTAAGCTTTCGTGACTGCAGGGATTCATATTATTGGTTCTTTCGGTAAAGTCACCACGTAGAAGGGAAACAATACAATAACGGTTTTCACACCTGATGATGATTGCTTGTGTTGCAGTCGAAACGTCGTGAGAATTTTATTGTTTTATATTTTTATTATTTTATTGTTCCCTTCTACGTGACTTTACCGAAAGAACCAACAATACGCGTTGCATCCGTTTGATATCCGAGCAAGGAACTGTTTGATTGTCCGTAGCAGTGCCAGCAAGCGGTTCTGAGACGTTCCCACGGCTTGACCTGTGCACGTTTGTGTGCGAGGCAAGGTCTCCCATATTCTGTTTCAATTTGCGCCCAGAAATTCAACAAACTGAGGATGATGATGATGATGCAGGATACGTGCACGTTGAAAGATCTAAAAATGCAAGTCCATTTAGTGACTTATTCATGTTCAATATTGACATGAAGCTTTCGCGACTGCAGGAATCCATACTCTTTGGTTCTTTCGGTAAAGTCACGTAGGTAGAAAAAATAATAGATTACGACGTTTCGATCGCAACACAAGCAACCGTCATCAGGTGGGACAACGACAGCAAGAAGTCTGCCCAAATTCATTGGATTTAGTGACTTGTTTCGCTTTCCTATACCTTGCACTCCGCTTGGTTTTTGTGTGTTGTTGTTTTTGTTGTTGTAACTCACTGATCCGCCCCTGCTGGATGTCTGTGAAAAAGAGCTTCATAGCTCATCGGCATTATCCAGTCTAAAGAGAGATTTCTGATTGGCGCGGCTGGATGGGAAGAGGGCGAGAAGGGATCTAAGAAACGTTTTTCAATGTTTCAATTGCCGCGCCGGGAAATATAACTAACTGGACAGGCGACTTGTGGATTGCAAGTGCAGTGTGTTAACCATCACACACCACGGTAGCATCCTCTTGACTCAAGGGCAATGGTTCTCAACTTGTAAACTAAACTATTAACTTAAACATTTTATGTATTTTACCAGCTAAGGCCCACTGAGCTGTATAGATCTTTTTTCAGAAGCGACCTGGCCACAAACGATCGCTCAACGAAGTGGCTTCATCAATTGGAAACTTATAGCAGCCAAATACGATAAACGCGTGATCTTGATCCTCAATGTGGTGGAGAAACCGGAGGATCCGGAGAAAAATCCACGCGACCACGGGGAGAGAGAGAGAGACGCAAACTCCAAATATACAGCAGCAGGCGCTGGGGTTCGGGATCGAACCCACGGACCTCCTGTACACCAAGCGAGGTTGTTAACATCTCCTAGTGAACCGTGGCATAGTTGTGGTCCATGGACCGCTGCCAGTCTCCACCGTGGTGAACCTAAATGTGTCGAGGGTTGACAGTCGTCGGAGGGTTCAGCAAAGGCTGGGAACCTTTGGGTGTTCTGCAAAGAGTGTAAGAGGGCAGTGCGGAGACAGAACAAGGGTGATATTATATTCTTAGCTCTTTCGGTAAAGTCACGTTGAAGGGAAACAATAAAATAATAAAATATAAAACAAAAATTCTCACGACGTTTCGACCATAACACAAACGGTCGTCATCAGGTGTGTCGGTTTGCATTAATTTATTTTTTTTACGGTGTATTTATTTATAAAAAAACGTCAGCGC